GCAACTTCAGTCTGTCAGCCCTTGGATGCTAGGGTGATGGCACCCTTCAAGCACAATCTACGAAACTTGTGGTTGTGTGGGGAGCAAGTGACTGGAGAAGACGATGGCCCGTTCTCATCTACCTTGCAGCAGAAACTCCTGGCCATGGTGAAGCGTGTAATTGTTGCCTGACTTGCTGTCTTCTTAAGAGATTCGTCAGAGCTTTGAAAGTGCTCTTCCACATAATTGAACAATATACATTTGTATATTTTTTATTTCATACAATTTCTAAATTGTGAAAAGAGTCTATTATTGCAAAAAATCGACATGCCCGGGACTCCAATTCGGGGAACACTCAAAACCACTGCGCCATCGCGTTGAACGCTTACGCTTACGTCGTGTTCATTGTATCGATGGTGATGTAAATGCCTAGACCAGTGTAGACTTATGACCTCTTGAAATGAGAAATCGATGGACTTAGTGCCTCGAAACTCAAATATTTAACGACATGTAAATTTAATTTCCTCTTGAAGTGATTATAATTTTGGAAGGCACTGTGATAGGCTAAAATATTCATCGAACTTCGAAGATCTCTGGCCAACCAGAATCCAGAATTTCACTTGACATCGAAGACGAGGTGGGCGGTACATTCTGACTTTCCCAGTATTGGGCGCCACCATCACCCAATGTAAAGAGACGAAGATCGACAACCAGGAACACGTTCGCACGATCCGCCGTCACCTGACTAACCACGTCGGATACAAACAATAGAGCGTTTTAGCAAGCCGGGAATTTGCATCAAATTCTTGGCTTGTCTTCGAGCACAAAGACACGCAAACTTCGATAGTTACACACCGGTTATCCGAAAAAGACGGATGAAGCAAAACAAAACACCCGCAGAGGCTGCCCTCGTGAGGTCCGCTGGCCCCCTGCTATTGAAGTTACGCCTTCTGCAGGCTCTCAGGCGTCGAGGGACAACCCAAGACCGGATACCAATTCACATCGTGGGCGGAGATTTCAAACTCCCGTTCGACATCGCGCTTGACGCAACCACGCTCCATCCTGGCCACAACGCTGGGAAAGTTGAATGCTTCGAGTGGTTGTCGGCGCTGCGCGTAGT